TTGCTCTGTTGGTCATCGTAGCTCACTGCAACCTCAGAGTTCTGGGCTCAAGGGATCCTCCTGCCTCAGCCTCCCAAATAGCTGGGACTACAGGGCACACCATCACACCCAGCTAATTTTTTTTCTATTTTTGGTAGAGACAGGCATCTCACTTTCACTCTTGTCCAAGCTGGTATCAAACTCCTGACCTCAAGCAATCCTCCCACTTTGGCCTCCCAAAGTGCTAGGATTACAGGCGTGAGCCACCTTGCCCCACCCAGAACTTATTCTTTTGATATCAGTCCTTGAAGGCCTGTTGTGCTCCAGGTATTGGGAATATAATGAACAGAAATCCTTCAATTAAATAAACAGTACCAACAAAGACTAAACTAAAAATCTGAATTTGACAAGTTGTTAAAATAATACAGTTGTTTCTCAGTATCTGGGGTGGGGATTAGATCCAGGACTCCCTTGGATATCAAAATCCATGGATGCTCAAGTTCCTGAGTAGTATGTGCATGCAAGCTATGCACGTCTTCCTGCGTATCTTAAATCATCTCTGGATTAATTATGTAACAAAGTGAATAGTTGTATTGTTTAGGGAATAATGACAAGAAAAAGCCCACATGTTGAGTACAGACAACTATTTCTCACCCCACCCCAGCCCCCAAGGGTGCAGAACCCACAGATAAGGAGGGCCAATTACAAAGTACAGACGCATACACAGGTTTTCTTTGAGTAGCTTTGCTGCATGTCAACACTTGTTATGAAGTTTTATTTACACATTTGCTGGAAGAATCGGGTATGGGGAAGTCATGCCTCAGTTACTGAGAGCATCAGATTCCTCTAGTCTTGCCTGTAATAAGCTGAGCGCTGGCACTTGACTGAATGTGTTTTGAGATCAGAAAGGATGGTCATCTTGTGGCTAACTGGAAACACCTGGGTAGTGGGGCGACTTTTCCAAGTTGCCCCACCTTTGGTTGAACAAAATATGGGATCTGTCTCCAAGGGGCAGGACCGCATCTCTTAGACATGTGCTACTGCCTTATGTAATGGACACAGCTAATTCCACAAAACGTGGTTGCCATGATGCCCTTAAATCTATCCTTAAGTGGCCCCCCCAAGAGTGGGCGCTTCTTTCCAGGTTGAGGGGAGGGATGCAGTCTAGCTGAATCTTAGACTCCCACCCCCAAAACATGCATCACTAATGCAAATGCCTGGGCACAGCCCTTCGCACCTTTGTTTGGGAGCGTTTCCTGAGAATAAAAAGTAGTGGCGGCTTGGGCCATGGCTGAGGCTCCCCTTGTGACTTTAGGGGTCGCTTTGAGAATGGAAGGGTCCCACCTGTGGTGGCCTCGGCTCTTCGAAGGCTCTTGGCGAGCGCACGTTCTCGGGCAGAATCCTCGGGGCACGCGGGGGGCCCTCACAACCAGAGCGCGAACGGGGCCACCTCTCGTTCCAAACGTCCGCCGGCGCGAGGGGGTGGGGGCCGAAGCTCGAGCCCGGAGACCGGAGACCGGCCAGCGGCGGGCAGACAGCAGAGGGTCCCCGTCCCGGACCCCGCCGGGGAGGTGGGGGCGCTGATTCCCCGGAGGCGGGCGTCGCAAGCGGCCAGGTCAGGTCCTGCGACTGTCGCTGGGCGCCGCTGAGCCCAGGGGCAGGGGAGCCCCAGGGGCCTCGCAGGGCCCCCGAAAGGCCCCAAGGCGCGGTATGGAGTGAGGGGAGCATGTTCGCCCGTCCCCCCGGGAGCGCGGACCGCCCCTGACCGGTCGCACGATGCCGCCCGCGATGGCCGGGCCCACGGTCTCCCTCCGGGAGCTGGCCGACCTGGCCATCGGCACCCCGGAGGTGGGTGCCGTCAACTTCACAGCCCTGCACACGCTCATCGTGGCCATGCTCAAGAACCTCAACCTCCAGGAGACACGGATCCGCTTCGACTCTCTGTCGCCGGAGCCGAGCCACTCGCTGGAGTCCGCGCGGGTCTCGCTCAGCACCCCACAGCCGGGCAAGCAGCCCTCGGCGCCCTCGGCGCCCTCGGCGTCCGCGGCCGCGCTCCGGGAGAGGCGGCGGAGCGTGAGCAGGCCTGCCCCGCAGCCGCTGGAGAGCCAGGTGAAGGACCTGAGTGTCCAGGTGCAGGACCTCGGCAAGCAGCTCAGGACCATCGACAGCCAGGTGCAGGGCATCGTCACGCACGTGCAGCACATGTCCCAGGCCGAGGGGCTCGACGTGGACACCCGGGAGTGGCTGCAGGAGAAGCTCGTGGCCATGCCATTGCAGGAGAGGCCGTCGCAGGAGAGGCCGTCGCAGGAGAGGCCGTCGCAGGAGAGGCCGTCGCAGGAGAGGTCGCAAATTGGCCTGACGAAAACCGTGAAGGACACCGCCATGGCGGAGATCAGCCCCGCCAAGGTGAGCGCACACGGGGGGCCCCTGCAGGCCGCCCTCCAGCCCTGGCCGGAGCTGAGTCCAGACCTGCCGCGGAGGGTCGCGGGGCGCCGGGCGGAGGAGCAGCCTGGTCCCACGTGGCCCATGCTTTACCTTCAGAATGTCATAGCAGATGTGAAAGCCCTGAAAGAAGCCCAGCAAAACGTGCCCCCTGAGCTGCAGCCCCAGATGAGGACACCAGAGACCCCACCTTGGGGAGCCCGGGGGCTCCATCCCATACCCTTCCTGGCCCTGCTCACACTGGGTTCACCCACGGCTTATCACACACCCAAGGACCCTGAGCTGCCCCAGGGGAGCTGACAACTTCTCAGAATGTTCTTCGAGTGAATTCCCTTTTTAAAAGAATAAAGAAATAAGGAGATTGTGTTGAAAGACAAAGGCCAGTCCAAGAGCAAGGGAGTCAGGATGGAGAGTGAGACTCCAGCTCCCTGTGGTTACGACACGAGCCCAAGCAGGCAGGGGACAATTTCACCTGGGCTTTTATTTTCTTGGAGGGAGAAGTCCACACAAATCGTTCAGCTAAGTGTCCTCCAACAAACAGCAGGAAGCACAAGACAGGCCAACTCCACTCAAGGAGGTGATGAGCACATGCGCATATCAGAGTCATGTTTGCCAGATGCAGGGTCTGGACCCGGACGAAAAAGGAGAAGCATAGAGGGAGAAAGCCTGGGGGAGGCTGAGAAGCAGGACGGGAGGGAAAAGACAGGCCAAGGACCCAGGGACGCCTGGCCGCTGGTCCCGCTGGCCTGCTTCACCCAGGGCCTTGCGACCGCAGCACCCCTCACTTTTGCTCTGGGAAACATAACCGCTTTTCTTTTCAAACTTCAAAGTGTGGTGGAGTTTTTGTTTTGTTTTTTGTGTTTTTTAACTAATCTTAGATTCTGGAGGTTTGCGTAAGTTATAAGGAGCAATTTAAGTTTTAGCAATTTGCTTTGGTTCTTCCGAGGTGCTTTTCTTTTTAAACAGCACAGACATTCAGACACTGTTGAAGTACCCGGTACCTTTTTTTTCCTTGAGAGACCAGGTGGGCCTCATCCTGCCACGCTTGAGGTTTTGTGAGCGGCAGTGTGAATGCATCCCAGGACCAGAGGTTCCCATCCCTGCAGCAGCATTCATTCTTGGCACACTGTCCGCCAGCATGGCCCCCACTGCACCCCACTTCCCTTCCTCTCACTGCCTGGAAAAAGAACTGAGAGCCTGGCTTTACTGGCCAGGTGGAAACTCTCCCTTCGCTCCCTCTCGCTGACCACGAGCCTGCGTGAGTAGGGCCACAGGCAGAGCTGCCGGGTCCCCCATCCCTGAACTCTTCTTCCAGGAGCTCCGCCAGAAGATTGATGATCTAGAGAAGCTGATCAGAGATCGGGATGAATTCCTGGTAATATCGGCCAGTCCTGTGGGAAGGGGCCCTGCAAGGGGTTGGGGGATGGTTGTCTTCAGCCTGGCTCTCTCAGGGCGTGTCCAGACTCCCACTCTGGATGTCTGCATCCCTCCACGGCAGGTCTTTGCCCCTGGATTGAGGGCAAAATCCTTTCCATTCCTGCCCAGAGCTCTACCGGGGGTCCCCATGGGAAAAAGAACCAGTCGCCCAAGATTTGCTGGTCATTTGAAAGACAATGAATTCTCCTTGGGGCTAGGGCCATGGAAGGACCCACCCCATCCTGTAAGCCCAGGTCTGTCCCTAAAACTTCCTGCGATTAAACTAGGGGTGTGTGTGTGTGTGTGTGTGTGTGTGTGTGTATTATCTGTGATTGCCAGGACCGAATGGGCCGGAGGCTGACTTTGGTTCCTGGTGAAGAAGTCACCATGGTCACCTGGGAAGAGCTGGAGCAAGCGATCACTGACGGCTGGAGAGCGTCACAAATGGTGAACAAGCGGGTCTGGGTGGTGGTCTTAGGTGGGGCTCCCCAGAACCTCTCCCTTTGTACAACTGCACAATGTCCTGTTATATGGGCATTCGTAATTTATTTCATAAATTCCATATTACGGATATTTTAAGTGTTTCTTCCAACCTCACAACAATCGCTCCAAGGTGACATTCACGTATGTGAGTAGGATAAATTCCTAGGAATGGAATGTGCACTTGTGAACTGCCTTAGCTGTTGCCAAATTGCTTTCCATGGATGTTGCTTCAGTTTAGACCCCACCAGCAGCACAGGAGAGAACTTATTCCTTGACATCCCCCAGCACTATATGTCAGTACCCAGTTTTTTGAGCTTTGCCTACAGGTTGGATGGAAGATGGTACCTGAGTGTAGTTTTAATTTGCCTTTGTGGCTTTTCAAACTTCCCTTACAGTCTGCCCCGAAATGCATGAGTCCCTTCACTATTAGTGGACCACAGTGACCAACCCTGGAAATAAAACCTCTGTAGGGGCCCTTTGCTGATAGTGACTTTTCACATGAGCACACTGTCCTGGCACAGTTCACAGTCCACCAAATCGTTTTCAAATTCCCGACCTTTCTTCATCCTTGATATTTTCAAGTGGCCCTTCAACACAAGGCTTAGCTGCTCTTTGTGTCTTGACACACCTTCCCCTGGATTTGTGCAACTGGGTTCCTCACACAGGATCAGCAAGGGGAAGAGGAAGCCTTTTGGTGCCACCAAGTGGCCATCTTGGGGAGTGCCAAATATTATCTTGGCACAGAGGACACCCTGCCCGTTTCCAGGATGGTTTCCTGGATTCAAGGCCC